CAAAGACGGGATGGAAATTTCCTTTGGAAGTCCTTCTACAGGGCTCCCAGGTGCTGTGTGGCAAATAGATTTCCCCACAATATTCCCAGAAATTAGGATTTAGAGAGCTACTGGTTTTGTGTGTAGTAAAATATATTGTGCCAAGATTTGGGGTGCCTTTCTGTAGGGCCTCAGATTCTGGCCACCATTAGATGAATCAAGAGCCCCATCGAGATGCAAACGATGTGTTAATTAAAGTCTCTATACAACTTGATCTTTAAAAATATGCCAGCACGGGCTGGGAGATCAAGATAGAAGAGTTTGGATCTTTAAAAATTAGCCAGCGCCACTGGCAGATCCAAATTAGAAACCGAACACCCCAGGGCAGAGACAAGTATTAACAATCTAGTGCTTAAGGAGATAGAACATCGGGCATAACTTTGAGCAAAAGAAATTTAACAGGTAATAAAAAGGTAAAGCCTGTTGAATGGGAAGACCTAGGTAATTGTACTTGATTAATTTGATGTAATGTCTGTTGAAATTCTTTGGTGTGTATCTATACTAATAACATGTAGAATTGAATGACGTTGAATTGATTTTGATATGTTTGACCAACTGGCAAATTAAGTAAGCTTCTCAGCTTGGGCTTGAAGCTCTGGGGAACTATAGTGTAGTTAGGATTTAAACTGTGCTCTGAGTTTTCCCATGCTTGGAGAATGAGGCACATGTTACCCAAGGAAAGAAAATTGAAGATTTAAAGGGACAGAACGTCCCCCAGGCCTGAAAGTGTTGTTTCATGGTATTGGTGCATATGTGTGTGTGTGTGTGTGTGTGTGTGTGTGTGTGTTATCATTTCCAAACCTGATGGCTTGTGGGGAAAAAAGAAGCAGCTTCCTGGTCCTTGTCCTTGTGTATATGTGTGTCTAAGTCTTTGTACACTCTCAAGGTAATTGAAACTAAGATGTCTCCAATCCAAAAGGACAAGAATTTTAAACTGGCAGAAATTGCCTTCTCTCTGTTTGTCGGGCCCAGAAAACTGAGTGAAGGGTGGGGGGAGTCCTTACTTTGCGTTTGTTTGGCCAACAAAAACAGAGTAAAGAGAAGTATTTTTCCCCTTCCTTCCTTCCCTATATCTTAAAGTAACAACCCAGGAAATGTTTTAAGGTCATTTACGAGAAAAGTTTCATCCTTGTAGTTATTATGTGTTTAAATGATTGGATTTAACGACAAAACCAACTAATAGGAGACAATTATGAGGGGTTTTGGTTGTAGCAGGGTATTGTAGAATATGGATACTGAATTTTGCCCTCCTAGTCAAACCACCACTGTGGATTTTATGAATCCACAAAAGAGACATAGATAAGAGAAAAGAAACAAAAAAGAAAAAAGAAAAAGAGAGT